TAATAGCACATATGTAATATATATACATGGAACATATATTATTCCATATTATTAATACATGTTATTTCTTATTGAAGGTGAATTCAACTTTAATAATTAGATATTAATAATGATTACATCATCACACAATGACACCACACCTCTACAATATCTCAACATCAAACCTTAACAATGGATGCTGAAAGAAGATTTTATTTAAACATTTCCAATATATCGGAATATTCTCAAAATATTTCCAATATATCAGAATATTCTCAAAATATTTCCAATACATTTGAATATTCCCAAAATATTTCCAATACATCAGAATATTTCCAAAATATTTCCAATACATCAGAATATTTCCAAAATATTTCCAATACATCAGAATATTTCCAACATATCAGAATATTTCCAATATATCAGAATATTTCCAAAATACTTCCAAAATACTTCCAATATATCAGAATATTCCCAAAATACTTCCAATATATCAGAATATTTCCAAAATATCAGAATATTCCCAAAATGCTTCCAATATATCAGAATACTTCCAATACATCAGAATATTCCCAAAATATTTCCAATATATCAGCATATTTCCAAAATATTTCCAATATATTGGAATATTACCAAAATATTCCCAATACATTGGAATATTTCCAAAGTATTTCCACTGCTAATTGGGAATATTTGGATTCATCACATTGCGTATTCCGGCGACATCCCAGCTCCGCATTCCCAGATTTTTTTTCCCCAATCCCAGAGGATTTTGGAGCTCACCCACCTGGCCAGGCTGAGCACAGGCTTTGATCTTCCCAGCCATGCGGTTCCCCTCTCCTGTAGGCCGAAGGGATCCGTCAATGAATAACAAAGGGGCAGAAAGAATTTTTTCCTTTTTTTTTTTTTGTGTTTTTTGTTTTTCCTCCTGACAATTCCAAGGGAACCTCTCAGCCAACAATTCCAAACTCTGAGGCGCTCTCAGAACAATCTGACAACTAATGGAGGAATTGAGTCCATGGCAAAAGTGGCACGCTGGAGACAGCCAGGGATATTTTAGCTCTTCCAAAAAAAAAAAATTAAAAAAACAAAACCAAAAAGAACCATAAAAAAAAAACAACAAAAAATTTTTAAAAAAATGCCCCAGCGCCTTTTTTTGTTTTAAAGATGAACTCAGGATTCAAAGTGGCTGCAAAAATGAGGCTCCATCTTCCACAGCTGGGGAAATTTCTAATTTTTTTTTTTTTTAATTATTTTTTTTTTAATTATTTTAATTCAGTAAGTTGCAATTTCAGGTCTTCTGAGATTTCTTCACCTATTAAGAAAACACAAAAACCTTCCCCCGTCTTTATGACCTGTGCAGCAAAACCTCCCCCACCCCAAATTTGTGTGTATAAACCCACCATCGTGTTTATACACACCCCAAAAGAGGGAAGGACAGCAAAACAAGGAGAAAACCGGCAAATAAAAATAAAAAAAATCAGGAATTTTGGCCCATTTCCCACATGGAAGTGCAGGTCAGTCTCTCACTCGGGGAAAATGAGATTATTTCTGGGATTTTGGATGAGGTGAAGGCGGTGAGAGGGGATTTGGGGACACGGTGACAGCCCAGGGGACAAACACATCCATCCCCATCCATCCCCATCCATCCATCCCTCGGGAATGCCTCGATCCCTGGTCCAAGGAAAAGCAGGAGCAGCGAGCTTTGGGAAGCAGGGATTGCTTTGGGAGCGGCGTGGCTGCACGGATTGGGAATTTGGGTCAGGAATTACTTGGTTTTTCCATCAAATATTACAATTTTGCCGTTTGTGCTGGTCCCTAATCCATTTATCCATCATTATCTTGCCTTGGATCCAATTCAGCAACTGATTGGGGTTTCTGATACCACCAAAAATTGATTTAATTCAATAATTTTTTTCATGTGAATCCCAATTTTCTTTTGGATATTCTCATAAAAATCAGATTTTTAGGGTTCTTTTTCCATACAACCTGCAACCAAACCAGCTGAAATCCAAATAAAAGTCAATTTTACCCCTCTGACATTCCTGTGCAAAGGGTTTCTGACTCTTTGGGGAGGACAAAACCGAATGAAATTGTTCTTTACAGCTTAAGAAGAAATGGTTGGAACCTTTTACTCACACAAACACTATAGTGAATTTTCCCAGGATTTGTTTTTTTTTTTTTTTGGCCAGGAAATTTTCCCAAATCTAAAATAAAGAGCGGAAAAGTTGGATTCTCATGTTAGTGATTGGGTTTGCTGTTTGTTTTCTTTTTTTTGACTGCTTGACAAAGGGAATAAAACAGGAATTAAGTGCAGGGTTCCCTCCCCTTCTTCCATTTCCACGGGGTTAGATTCACTTTTGGACCTTTAAAATCAGATTTCGGGTCATGGAGATTCCCAGGGATCTACTCCTAAAAACTCCTGGAGCTCGCTCTTGTGGAAGTTCAACATTTTTCCAGGTGTTTTCCCCAACGCTCTTGGGAGTTAAAATTCAATTTCAAGCCCAAATTCTTCGGTTTGCTCAAGCCAACACTGAAATCCTTGGGAATTAGGGGTCATTCCTGGCTGGGAGCAGGAATTCCAACCCAAATCAGGAGGAATCCCCAGGCTGGAAGGTGAAATTTCCTTTCCTCAGGCAGTCAGACACACCTAAAAATGCAACATTCCTACATCCACCACCCTGGGGGGAAAGAAAATCCCTTCAGATTTAGTTCCTTTTTAAACTACATCAGCAGTTTGCCTTCCACATTTTTCCATATTCCAGTTCAGAGGGTGAATCTTGTTTAAAGAGTGGGAATAAAACCTTGAAAATAAACAACAACAGAAAAAAAACAACCAACCCCCCCCCCCCCCCC